AATCCAGCAGGACATAGTGTTTGGTGGGCCGAATAGAGACGTGTGCTGGTCCATCCGGGACGGCGTGGAAGCCACGGCATGTACAGACGCCTGTCCGGCAAAAGTACATCCACCAGGGCACCCACCTCCAGCTTTTCGTCGGCCGCAAAGACGGTGAGGCAGTCGCTGATGCTGGCCGGCGAGCCCTTGATCCCCAGCCACGACAGGCTGCTCTGCTTGCCTGCAGCGGGTGAAGGGAGCGAGGCTGTGCTGAAGAGGGATGGAAAAGGGGCGGTGCAGGATGCGCACACTTCAGCAGCAAAATGTACAGATCATGGATCTTACCACAGTCAAGCTCAGCCCCATGTGAATTCAGGCAAGAGCCCGCGGTATGCTCAACATACTCGACACCAAGGACGCAGCCAAGATCATATGTACCCTGAAAGAACCACCTTCTTTGGCCAGAGGAAGTGACAGGTCCCAGAAGGGCTCGTACATCGTGAACCGGCCATTGCACTTGTGGCATGTAATGGAACTCTGAGGGGGATAGAGGGTGTTGGGATGGGTGGCGGCAGGTGGGTTGCCAGTCATGCCCAAGCGAGTCCCCAGCGTGTGCGGCAGCGTGGAGAGCGCAGCTCCATCCTACTGGTCTCGAGCTGCACGACGCGCGGCGCCCATGCCTGCTCCGACACCGATGCTCACGCGCCAAATCCATCCACAGCAACCCACCAACCTGCAACTGCCCCCCGAACAGCTCCGTGACGGTGCTGGAATCGCGCTCCAGGTACTGCTTCCAGTGCCTGTCCGCCTTCTCGGGCTCCGACTCCGGGAAGAGTGGGGAAGGTGGCACGGGCGGGAAGCCGGGGGCAACGGTGGACGGCGAGGCAGGCGGACCAGCCTCCTCGCCCTCCGCAGGCGCTGGCGGCGGCAGCGGTTTCTGGAGGTGGGGTGGGGCGAGTGAGGGAGGGGTCGGGGCACAGGGCCTTTCCCTGGCACTCGTGAGCCCCGGCAACGGAAACCTCCCATGACCCCGCAGCAGGTGCACCAGAGCACGCGCCTCCGTTCGCACCCAACCTCTCAAGCCTCTCACCAGGTCGTCGTGGAGGAGATCCATGAGCACACGCAGCACCTCCTGGCAGTCATGCTGGCCGCCGTCCAGGAATTCGGCGGCCATGGGGAAGCTCTTCAGCGTGCGGATGAAGTGCATGGGGTCCAGGCCGCCGGCCCCACTCTGCGCGGGAATTCGTGGCTGAGACGGTGAGCAGGAGGGCGGGTGACAGGGGGCACGAGCTCACTGGGCGGGCGGGTGAGCCGCTCATGCCCGAGTGTGCTGGCAGCCCAGCGAGCTGCCGGCGACCGAGCAGGGTCATGCCCCGTCACAGCTGCACGATCCAGCGCCTCAGACCGGGGACTGCGGGCAGCATGGTCCAGGCGGCATGCATGTCCATCAAGAAACAGTCTGCGGTCACGCGACCCGCACACTCACGTGGAGGTAGAGCTTGAGGACCAGCTGCAGGAAGGAGGCCAGGAGCTCGCCCCGCGGGGGCCGTTCTGTGGCCTTTGGTGCGGGCGCCGACGGGGCTGCACTCGCTTGGAGCGGCCCCGACCCTGCGGCTGCTTCGCCAGCGCCGGCGGGCGCACTGGGTGTCGCCTCCTTCTCCTCTACCTGGGGCTTTGAGGAGGGGGGCAATGCGCCGTCACCCTCTCCTCGTCGTGGTGCTCGAGCAGCCTCGCCGCCAGGCCCTCCGTCCTCGGCCAGGGTTTGCCTGGCCGCGGCCAAGTCGACATCCTGGCCACCGCCAGGCCCCTCCTCATCCCGCCCCGTCGCATCCGCGTCTGTCACGGCCGGCCCCGCCCCCGGCTCGTCAGCTGCAGTCGCGTCCGCCGCCGGCTCCTCCGCCACGCGGAACAGTCCAGCATGCACGGCGCTGGGTTGCTCCCCGGGCGATGCGTCGGCGCCAGCCCCGCCGCCTGCATCGGCCTGAGGCCCCCCCACATCGGCGGGGGGCTCCGTCGCCCGACTCCCTGCCGCAGCCGCCCCCCTCCTCTCGCGCCAGCTGCGCTTGCGCCACGGCAAGCGAGGCCGCGGACTCCAGCGCGCCGCTGCGATCCGTGGACGCGCGCGCCAGGGCGTGCACATCCACCGACCCCGGGGCCTCGCCGGGATCGACCATGGCTGCGCCCCCGCCGAGGCCCGCGGCACCCGCCGCGGCTGCGGCGCCCTCAGCGGCGACGGCCGCCTGCACGCGCGCCTGCAGGTCCGGCGCCAGGCCCGTGGCCAGGCCCGGAGTTCGGCTCAGGCACTGCAGCGCGGCATTCACGAAGCAAGTGTTCCCCACGTTGCGGATGCCCGCCACGGGCAGGCGCGGCGCCGGCGCGAGCGCCGGCGCAGGCGCGGGCGCGGGCGCGCCAGCTGGCGCCGGGGGTGGCGCTGCGGGGGTGGCGGGCGTGGGGACCGCGGGAGAGCCGCGGACGCTGGGCGTGCCGGTGCGACCCGGCGCCTGCTCCGGCACGCTGCGCGCGCTGGGGGGCGCGCTGCTCACCAGCTCCGCCCCTGCGTCGTCCTCTGAGGAGCGCAGGCCCAGGCCAAAGCAGGACAGGCCGCTGGCGCCGGAGGAGGGCGGCAGCGCACGCGAGGAAGCCAGCGCCACCGGGGCCGGGGTGGCGGGGGCGGAGGTGGCGCCCAGCCGGCTGGAGGGCTGGGAGGGTGGGTGCGCGTCGGTCGGCGGGCTGGCTGCGTCGACCTGCAAAGAGAGAGGGGGGGGGCCGGCGGCGTGAAGCGGGGTCTGCGGGCGGCGTGAAGCGGGGTCTGCGGGCGGCGACTTTGTCCTGGTATGCATCGCCAGTTGCCCACGTCCTCCCCAGGAGCATGACATGCACGGGCAAAGAACCCAAAGCTCTGGTGGCAAGATCAAGGCCGCTCATCTCCCGCTGGCGGCATGCTCCCACCCTTCGTGCGTCACTTCACCTCCCCCCTCAGTCTCCACCACCAACCCCCCAAAGTCAACATGCCACCAACCTCGAACTCGTCGACGCTGCTCTGACTGCTGCTGGGGCGGGACAGGCCCAGATTCTTCCTCAAGAAAGTGCTGAATGACCTGCCACGGCGATGTGTCTTCTTTGTGATCTCGGGCTCTGCAGTGGGCACAGGGGCGGGGAGGGAGTTGACCTGGGTGCCAAAGAAAAGAGAGCCTCTGCGCGGGCCCCATTGGTAAACAGCCAGCCAGTCTTGGACTGCCATGCAGCCTGCAGATTGATTGCAACAGTGTCTCCACCCTGTGCACCTGGCTCGGCGACAGCGTCCTCCAGGCTGCGGGTGCGGGAGTGGTGGCTGGCCACCACTGCTTTGCTGGCCGCGGTGTCGGGGTCCAGGCTGGCTGCGCGGCTGAGTCCCGTCCCGAACCAGCCCCTGGGCTTGGGGGGAGGGGGGTCCTGTGTGCCGCCCCGCAGCGACTCCTCTCGGGTGCCCCTGCCCAGCCGGGCGAACAGCCCCTTCCGACTCGAGTGCTCCGGCAGGCTGGGCAGGCGCTGGAGACCGCCCTCATGCGACATGGTGCGGCAGAGAGTTCGTAACCCCCAGCTGAAGGTCTGCGGGGAAGGGTGTGAAGGGCCGGGATGCAGTTTTAAGTCGCCTGCGGGGCCAGACACTGCATGACTGAGCCTGCGTATCACCAAGCTCAGGGATGCACCCACATCGATCATACCTGGATCCTTCAAGAAGTCTTGAGTTTTCTTCCTGATCAGTAAGGCCGACATAGACGCGCTCTCAAGCGACCCTGCATCCTGGCACGGAGTGAGGCAGGCGCACTGGAAGGGATGAGAGGGAAACCTCAGCACTGCGTCAAGGTGCAAGGCCTGGGGCCGAGTGCTGTTCGGTTGTAACCCGGCACCGAGGGCTGGGTGTATGGATCCGGATTGTATGTAGGGCGGGGCCGGCTAGTGGTCGCATCCTCGTAGGCAAACCTGTCGAAGCTGCTGCATTCCCGTGCCAGCGTGTTTCAGCAAGTGATCAGTCCGACTGCCGAGATGTGACGATGCAGCACGCGCAAAAATCAATGATCCTGAAACAAGTTCGTATTCGAAAGCATATGTATTTGCGCATGATAACATTTCTTGATGCATCTCGGTGCTGAGCTGCAGGACCTGCGCCATGCTCCTGCGCCTGGCCCCGGGCATCGAGTGTTTCCTGCAGGACTGCGTCCGCCAAGGCATTGCCAGCGATGTGAGATGAAGTTGTTTGAAGGGATCACGGCATGCTGTGATGGTCTGGGGGTCCCGGGGATGATATGTGCGATGCAGCAAGCATCACTCCCAGCTCTCCGCTGCCCCAGGACCTGGCCAAGGAGGTGTCCCGGGCGGGTGCCGTGCCGTGGGACCAGCTCAAGCGCCTGCATTGCCAACTGAAGGCTGCCCGCCCTGACACCCCCAACCTGTACAAGGTACAGGTGCAGGATGGCATTCTTTGGCTTTGGATGCCTGGAGTGCATGCACGCTCGAAGGCTGGTAACTGTGCACCCCCACCTCATCCAACCACCGCGTGTGCTGCTCTGCGCATTCCTCTATAAACCCCCCACCCACCCACCCCACCCCTAATGCCAGGTCTGCCGGGGCAGCGGCTTGGTGCCCCCCGCCCCCCGCCGCCCACCTCACGGCAAATCCCCCGAATTCTCAGCGCTGCTCGAGGGCCTGGCCCGTCGCCGGGAGCAGGCGGCCTACGATGCCATGGTGCACGATGTGCTGGCCGTGGAGCGGGCCGCCGCGGCCGCTGCGCACGGCTTCGGCTCCTACCGCCAGCAGGTGTCGTTAGGCCTGCACGTGGTTGTCACGATGGCCGCCTTCTACGCCTTTGGCCTGGTGGCGGGCCGCGCCACGCTGCCCCCGGGCTGGCAGCCGCATGTGGCGGGCCTGGGCCTCGCCACTCTGGCCCTACTGGTGGAGAGCCTGCTCTTCGTCATCCGCTCCAGCGCGCCCGCGACCGCGCAGCGCGAGGCCGCCGCCCGCGCGCTCCGCGAGCGCCTGGAGGCGCAGGCGCGGGCACAGCGCGCCGCGGCGCAGCGGGATGGCGAGGCAGGGGGGAGGGCGCAAGGCGGCGAGGGGGCGGGGGCTGCACCGGCGCAAGACGAAGGAAAGGCGGAGAGCACGCCGGCGAGGGCCGGTGTGGCGGAGGAAGCAGGTGTGGAGCCCGACGGCGGCCCGGACAAGGGCCCTGAGCCGGCCACCCTGCGCCTGCGGGCCGGCAGGGCGGCGTGACGCCGCTTGCGCTTGCATTGGCATCGGGTGATGACTTCCTTTTCTAGACTTGGGACCTTGGGACATCGTTCCAACAAGCGCTACCACCCCCTCGCCGCTTTGCCTGGTCAGCCACGCCTCGACTCCGCGCTGGCCCCGGGCCCCCCGACTCCCACCGGCAGCTGCTCTCCCCACTCACTGCTCGTCACCGGTTGTTACAGAGCATCACAACTTGAGCAGCCACCCCTCGAGCGCCGCCTTCACCGGTACTTCTTGTCGCCGATGATGTGGCCCCCAAAGAAGGGGGTCAGCTCCAGCACAGTCTGGTTGTACTCCACGGGGTCGCCGTCCTCCAGCAGGAAGCCCTCCAGTTCCCCCGACTGTGGCGCCTCCACGGGCCAGTGCGTGCCCAGCTGCTCCACGAAGGCCAGCACCTGACCCTTCTTCACGCTGTCGCCCGCAGCCGCCAGTGGGCCCTTGCCCACGCGCTTGCCCTTGACATAGCGCCCGCGCCGGAAGACGCCCACCTTGGTCGCCACGACCGCCAGGCGCGACTCGTCGGCCTCGTCGGCACTGGCAACGGGAGGGGGGGTGGCGGGCGCGGGGGCGGGCGCGGGTACTGGGGCCGGCGCCGCGACGGGGGCGGCGGCTGCCGCGGCAGGGGAGGCAGCCTTGCTCAGGCTGCGCCGCACGCGCAGCTGGAACCCGGGGAGCTTCAGCTCCAGGTGGGCCAGGTCGGTGCCCTCGCACAGCGTGGCCAGCAGGGACTCCACCTGGGAGGTATTGAGGGGGAGGGTGTGTGCGACGCAGGGGTCAAAGGGCTGGTTAGAGTAGCAATGCTGAGAGCAAGAGCCCATTCCTGGATCCTGATTCTGTCAGGCGGACCCAATCATTGGTTGCTCTTCCCACTTCCCACCACCTAGCCTCACACCTGCTGTGGGTCCAGACCCTCCCCATCCTCGTCGAAGAACTCGTCCTCAGACTCCGAGTCAGACTCCTCCTCCTTCTTGGACTTGGGCTTGGCACCGCCTGCATGGGGGGGGACGGGCGACGGCGTGGTACTCCCTTCCTGCGACCGATCCGCGGCAAGGCGCATGACATGTGAGGATCCCCTCCAAGCAATTTTTGAATCCGAGCCTCTCACCCTTGCCGGAGGAGCTGGGGGGCGAGATCTCAGCCATCCGGGTGGCGTGCAGGCGGAGGCCCTGGGGCCGAGCCGCACGCATCGCCGAGGCCCTGAAGGCCATGCCGCTGGGTCGGCATGATCGAACGCTGCTGGACGCGCCAAATGTGGCGGTGAGAGGAGCCGCGAGGGCAGCCATGTCGGGAGCAGTGTCAACAGGAGTGGTCGGGTACTGGGTGCCTCACGGAGTGTCCTGCCGACCCTGGTGTGTGGGCCAGATGCTCGAGTACGATGTTCTTGGCAATACTCCGCCCCCTGCTCGAGTCTAAACCGTGCTCCATTTCGGGTGGGTGGCAGCACAAGACACATCCGACACCCACATCATTCTGTCCGCGCCCGCCCCTCTGATTCAGCGCGCTCATCAACCTCGGTAAAACAACCAAATCCCCCCGAGCTGCAACACCAGCCTCCTCCATGATGTTACAAGGATGACTTCCTCTGCATCAGACAAGGCCTTTTGGCTGGGTGTCAAGCCGAGAGCCGGCTTGGCATCGCTCAATTCTGTGGGCAGGTCTTCTCATTTTTACGGTGCCTGCCGGCGTCCCGCTTTCCTCGGGCATCCCCACTGGGGGCGGCATTCAACGGCAGTCCCTACAGGTTCCCAGAGTTGTGCAGGCCCAGCACAATTCCCACCCCAATGATGTGGCCCAGCGCGCCCAGCGCCAGCACATCCCAGATGGTCAACCCTGTGCGGGAGGGTTGGGGCGGGTGGAGCGTGCTTGTGGGCAGGGGACAGCTGCAATGGGGCGACATCCGAACGAGGGAATGACAGGCCATGGTTTCAGGCGCAGGGTCCCAGCGCCATGCCTCCGTTCAAACTGATGCAAAGCCATCCTCCCCTCCGATCCGCGCTGCACCTGCCGGGTCGCCGCTGATGAGGCCCGCGGACTTGTCCTCATACAGCTTCAGGCCGGGGGTGGTGTGCCGGGTTGCGGTGGGGGCAAGGCCCAGCCTGCCCGCCACGATGGGAAGGAAGGTGGACAGCACCATGATCTGAACAGCAGGGCCGGAAGGTGGGGGGCAGGTGGACATTGGTACACTCACACATGACGAACAGTGGAGTAGCCACAGCTGCAGCCGTAACCCGGTCTACGGACATCATGCACATCTGTGAAGAATGAAAACGATCGGTCCCGATGGGCGACTAACAGTGTCAAACCTCGTTGAGACCGACAAGGCCTCACTCACCACGTTGGTTGGGGACCCAATGTAGCCAGCACGGGTGACCACCATCACCCTAGACCGGCTAGTCACCGCCTGCGAAACGGAGCGAGCGGGAATCGGATAGGGAAGTCTAGTCGAGGTACAGCAGACCCGTGACAACTAGTATCAGTACATGATGGCACCTCGCCAGCTACCAGGCCGTTCATCACCTTGTGGGCAATCGGCCGGAGGGCATTGGCCCTGAAGCCGGTGAAGCTCCTGACACTCTGCATGGCGCCCTTCCTATGCTGCGGGGGAGGTCTATCTGTGCCGTAATGTCAAGCAGGTGTTGAAAGCAGGCGATCCAGCGTGAGTCCTCTCCTTTCGGGGCCGCGCAAGGCCTCCTCGATCGACTCGGCACCGACAAGATCCCCAATCGTTCTCCAGGATTGGGTGGTGGAAAGGCGGAATTGTTTCGATGCACTGGGCAACAGCCCCTAAAATGCTGCGACTCTTCCAATCTGCATAACTACACAAGCAAACATATTCTTCGGAGCAGTACAACGTTCTAGGTGAGAATGACAATAAGTAGGGTACAGTGGGGAAGGAGGCATGGAAAGAGAATGGCATTTGGCGCTCTCTCCAAAGTATCAGCAGCTGGCCAGGGCTTGGAAGTCTGGGCCTGCAAAGGGGCCCGACAGCTCATCGCAGCACGCCATCCTGATGCGCTCTGGAGTCGCCGGGGAGTCCAGGCGGAACCAGCCCTCTAGACCTGGGAGCGGGTGCATCCACGTTGAGGTAGTTTGTCCAGGGAAACGCATACGATATGACAGAAGGATAGGGAGTCGGCTGACATACATTACAGGAAGCCACCCATGATATCTGCCACACATTCGAGCCCGACCTCCAGCACACACCGGCATCCTGGCGAGCAGCATAGGCTGCGTTCTTCAGTGCAAAAAAGACGGAAGCTCCCAGATAGAAGGGAGGCTCCCCGACGGCCTTGGAGGAGTGCACCTGTGATGATCAAGGGATTTGTCAGAACAGAGGCGCACTGCTCCCAGACAGGCAGGACATGCCAAGGCAGCACCTGTGTGCGCCCATGCAGCTGACACAAAGTTCTTCTTGACATGCGGGCTCCCTGCCACAATTCACAGTGGGCTTGCACGCGAGGTACTCTTCAGTTAGCCAACATCCATCTGCTTGCCCTGTGTCACCACTCAAACTCCACCCCAGACTCCCTCTTCACACCTGGGGCGTCCTGTGACAGTGAGAATTGCGCAGCAGCATCACCCGAAAGTCGACCGGGATGTCGTTGACGGACGGGATCTTGTACGTCCCCGGACCACGCGTAAAGAGCCAGCCTGGCTTAACCCAGGGATGCTTCTTGTCCCCCCACACCAGCTCCTCGATGCAAGACCATCCCATGCCCTGGACAAAGGCGCCCTCCACCTACACAGGAAGCGGGAGAGAAGTGCTGGGAATGGGTGCACATGGTAACTGCATCATCGCTGGATCAATCACGTGAGAGAGGTGGGGCGCTAAGGACTTGCACCTGCCCCTCGTCTTGGGCCTCACCCCCAACATCCTCCTGCAGGAAAGCCCAGCACCCACCTGTCCAATGTCAATCGCGGGGTTCAGGCTCTTGCCCACATCCATCACCACGTCAGCACGGAGCACGTGGAAGTCGCCGGTCAGGGTGTCCACCTCCACCTCCGCCACAGCGGCACCTGAAGGAAAGGGGCATCGTGCACACTCATCTGAGGGATGCAAAGGGCAATTACAGGCCGGACGCAAGCCCCACAAATTGCCTGCGAGTCCTCCCTGCCCGCCCGTCTTCCCACGTCCATCTGTACCAGACCTCACCCACCCCATGATCCTTGCGGCCCCCTCCCCCACCCCCTCCCTCACCATAACAAAAGTAGTTGTAGGGCTTCTCGCTCCCAAAGCCGCCAATGTCGGGCGTGCTGTAGAAGCCGTGCGCCGAGAGATCCACGCGATCCAAGTAAGCAGCGTTCACAATGTCCTGCTTTGGAGAGAATGATGGGTTTGGCCATGGATTGCAGGGCATTGGCGGCTGGTACTGAACAAGCAGACAGCAGCTGCCATCGCGGCAGACTCTGCAACACCTTTCCCTGGGCCGTGAGACTTTCCCTGCCTGGCTCGGTACTGACCTTGAAGCTCTTGTCCTGAAGTTTAGCCCTGTAGGGCTCCAGCCGGGCATTGAGCTGGGCGCATGCATCTGCCGCCGCAGCGCCATACAGGTCGGAAGAGGCGGACGCGGCGGTGGGTGATGCGTTTGGGATCTGCAGCAGGGTTGATGGGGTAAGGGTCGGCGATCAACCCATCATATCAATGAAAGGATCTCCGGGCATTTTTGCCTCCCGCTATGCTGCACGACATGGACCATGCCCAGCCTGGCGCCAGGCCCAGACAGCACTGCTGCTGCTGTTGAGTGGGCATCCTAGCACCCCACAACCAAGCTTGCCAAGATACAGGAGCGCCCCTTCCCTCACCTTGTCTGTGGCTGTCTCGGCAATGTACACCTGGGCGAGGGGAATCTGCAGGGCATGCGCCACCACCTGGGTTGGAGGGGCGGGGGGGGGGCGGGGTGTGTGTGTGTGTAAAAATATAAGGCTGCATCTCAGGAGATTCTCTCACCAAGAGGATTTAAGACAGGGGTACCGCCCTAGTGTTACCAAGCGCACCTGGGCCACTTTGGTGTGCAGCCCCTGGCCCATCTCCACGCCGCCATGAGTCACCAGAACAGTGCCATCTGGAGAATGCATTGGGGCGGGGGTGAGCGGATGGGATGAACGGCTGGAGCAGATCGGCATGGGTATTTTGGGGTTCCACCCCCAACAGTATGGGCCACAACCAGTGATCCCACTGAGAGGAAGAAGGCGACTGTGCCGACGCATGGACCACCCAGTCCCTGCATGCCTCCAGGCCCATTATCTCCCCCACAACATTGCCGCAACGTCTTCTCAGACCTCCTCACCCGTGTAGCAGTGGATCAGGGCCCCAGCCTGGTTCATGAACTTGGTGGTGAAGGAGATGCCAAACTTGGTGGGGAGCAGGGACAGGCCCCGCTTCCGGAAGCGGTTGGCGGCGTTGAAGGCCGCCACGTCGGCCTCCCGCGCTGCCCAGCCAGACAGGGTGTGCACCTCCTCCCAGCAGCGCCGGGCCTGGCACCCCTCCAGCCGCTGGCCAAAGTGCGTCACGTCCCCCTCCTGCAGTGCGAGAATTTTGCGAGGGGGCTGAGGGGCTGTGCTGGTAGGATGCCATAAGGGTGTATGACATGCACTTTCAAGACAGGCCATCCCTCTGCGCTTCCGGTCCACAGGTGTGGTGCCCAGGGCCCATTACCCACAATCATTCGCTCACATTGTACATGTTCCGCTCGCGCAGGGTGTTGAGCGGTATGTCCATCTCCTTGGCAACCCTCTCCATGATCTGCTCCATGATCAGCATGCCCTGTGGTTTTGGAGGGGTTTCCAGTTGGTTTCATGTGTGCAGACAGAGTCATCAGCGTTTGGATGCAAGCATCTCCTTGCGCAATCAGCCAGGCCACCATCGGCTGTGCCACGGCCAGGGCAACCACATCCTTCCAGTCAGCAATCCCACTTCATCAGGCGTCTCTCTCGCTGCCACACAGCCCACCTGAGGCCCCCCGAAGCCACGGAAGGCGGTGTGTGTGGACTGGTTGGTCTTGCACAGCCAGCCCTATTGAGAAAGGGGGAGCGGTGGAGGATCTGGTCACAGTAGGTACCTTTCTTGTTATTGTTGAGCATGCTCTACTCAAGGAAAGGGTCCCACCCTGGGTTCCTTCATGGATGCACCTTTTCAATTTCTCACCCCCCCCTCTGCACCTTGCACCCCACACCATCCCCCATCCCCCCTGCCACCCCCTCGCCTGCGCGCGGATGGCTGGGATGCGGTACACGCTGTCGATGTGGGTCAGCGCGCGGTCCATGATGCTGAAGGACAGGTCCAGGGAATAGCCCGCGTTGTTGTAGATGTCCACGTCCAGCGCGCGGATCTCCCCGGCAGAGCTCAGCCCGATGCGGTACTTGGCGGCAAAGGCGTGGCGCTGCCCCGTGATGTGCATGTCCTCGTCCCGGTCCAGGCAGATGCGCACCGGGCGGCGCAGGAGGTGCGCGGGCACTGCCGCGGCGGCGTTGACGAACGCGCTGCGCGTCTCCTTGCCCCCGAAACCGCCGCCCAGGCGCTTGGTGCGCACCGTCACCTTGTGCATGGGCAGGCCCAGGACGTGTGCCAGGTAGCGGTGGTGCTTGTCGGGGCACTGGGAGGAGGAGAAGGAGGTCACCTCCCCGCCCTCGCCAGGGATCACCAGGCTGGCGTTGGGCTCCAGGTAGAAGTGCTCCTGTTTGTGGAGGAGTGGGCGCCCGGGAATGGCGGGGGGTTGAGAGGATGGCCAGCCAAGCATTCGCAATAGGAATGGGGGTGGACGCCAGGCCTTGGGCGCGAGCGTGCACCGAATAGGTGAGGGCACGTCGATCCTTGGCCCATTGCCCTGGAGTGATTGCACCTCAGCACAAACCCCGCCCTGCCCTCCCTGTGCAAGCCCCCTAAACCTGACCAAATACATCGGATACCCCACCAGACCCCCCCCCAAACACACAAACACACACCTGGCCGCCCATCTTGACCCAGCCCTCCAGCACGACGTCGCTCGCCTCCAGGGCCAGGGCGCAGTCCCCGCTGTGCACGCTGTGCCCCCAGCCCTCAATGAAGCTGCCGGCCGCGATGGCGTCGTCGATGTCCAGGAGCGCCGGCAGCGGCTCGTAGCGGACGGCCACGGCGCGGGCGCCGGCGCGGGCCGCCGCCTCCGTCTCGGCCACCACCACGCCGATGGGGTGCCCTACGCATGGCACGATCTCCTGTGGAGTTGAAGTGGGGGGAAGTAGGAATACTTTGGAATGGGACCCGATCAGAGGGCAAGGCGGGGCGGGGCGGGCAGCACCATGCGCGGCGGCGATCAAGACAGAGGTTGCAGCGAGATTGGGCCGCCCATGCCAACCCAACACTCCCCCTCCCCCCCCCCAGAATCCAGAAACCCACCGTGGCAAAGAGCTCTTCGTCGTGTGCCACGGCCCCGATATCGTTCCCCCCCGGCACGTCTTCGGCCGTGAACACGCCGACGACGCCGGGGACGAGCAGGGCGGGCCCCTTGTCCACGCCCAGCAGCCGGGCGTGGGCCTGGGTGGAGGGGACCAGGGCTGCGTGAAGCGTTCCCGGTGGGGGCGGGATGTCGTCGGTGTACTGCGCCTCGCCGCAGACCTGCAAGTCGGCGGCCATGTGCCGGTATGGCTGCCCCACCACGTCCTCCTCGGGTACCGCGGAGTGGTACTGCAGCCCGTAGCTGGGCGGGCGGCTGTACGGCGTGATGGCTGCGAGGAGGTGGTGTGCAGGGTTTCGTGGACGTGAGTGTGTGTGTGAGTATTTCACATGGCATAATACCCTAGGGTGGGGTGAGCATCTCATGCCAGGGCACAAAGCGTGGCATCGATGTCCAAGCGCTCTTCGACTTCCCAGAAACAACAGGGAAGTGCCCCAGACCATCCCCCTCCCATTCAACCCCCACCCACCCGAGGCGTAGGAGGGCGGGAAGGCGCTGGCGTAGGCCTCCACGTCCTCGGCCAGGGCGTGCGCGGCGTGCACGATGGCCTTGAACAGGAAGGAAGAAACTAGGGACTGGCGGAACTCCACCATGCCGCCGGGCGCGCTGGGGGCAATGACCACCTCCTCCCGCACCGCTGCCAGGGCGCGCTGCACGGCGGCAGGGTCCAGCGGCTGGCCGACCAGCGCGGCGGCGGCGCGGGGGGCCATGATGCTCTTGGCCGCCACGCCGCCAAAGGCAAGGGATGCGTCGGCCACCACCCAGGCCCCTGTGATGGATGGGTGGAGTTTGGGGGGGGGGGGGGGAAGGGCGAGGTGGTTGCATGGTGTGGGTAGGCGGCGGTCGAGGAGGGATGAGATGAGGATATGCGCTCTGGACCCTTGCGCCTTGAAACCACCCTGGGAACCCACACAGAGGGAGGCGTTTTCCACCCACAACCTCGTCCCCAATCACAATATACAGTTCCAGCCCCACCTTCCTCCCCGCTGGGCGCCATGCGGATGCGGATGCCGGCGTTCACGATGGCGATGTCGTCGTCGCGACGGTGCGCCTGCTTGAACTCCTTGATGTACTCGTGCTCGGCGGTATAGGGCACGAAGATCTGGGCGCGGGTTGGGGTTGGGGTGTTGTTGTTGCTTTGTTGAAGGGGATGAGAATGTGGTGGACTGTATGTGCGATGAAAGCACTGTGCATGCACGAGCGGCTGGATGTGCGGATCCCAGAGGATCGAGCACTTCTTGCATTCCTCAACATCCACCGCCGTTTATCCCCCCTTTCCCCCCCCGCTCAGCACATATGATTCAACCCCTCACCTTGACCAGGACCTCATGGGGTTGCATGTCTACGGTGCGGTAGCCCAGGAAGAAGTCGCGGGCGGAGACGGCGCGCTCCGGTGTGCCCCGGCCGCGGAGGAAGAAGGTGGCCCCCGCTGCCATCCACAGCGGGTTCAGATCGGAGATGGGGGAGGCGGTGGCCACGTTGCCCCCCAAGCCCGCCGTGTTGCGGATGGGTGGCCCCGCAAAGTAGCGCAGCTGCTCAACCACCGCGGCCAGGACGGGGCGCTGGTGAGGCGCCACGCTGGCGCGCAGCGCGGCAAAGGACTCCATCAGGCGGGTCAGCGTCACCGACGCGCCCACCGTCACGCCCTTCTCCCCCGGGGTCAACTCGTTCATCTCGGCGACATGTGTCACGCCGATCAGCACGGGGTAGGCGGCATGCTTGAACTTGAGCTCGATGCCCACCTCTGTATGTTTGGGAGCAGAATCATGGAGGGTGGTGGGATTGAAGGGTGATTTGAGAGATTGGAAATTGGGTGGACGCCGGCAGGCACGAGAGAGGCGGGTTTGGGCCGGTGCCAAGAATGCTCCTTCCCTTCTCACCCGTATTCCCGATGACCAGCTTGGCATGGGGGTACTCTTTCTTCAGCTCCAGCAGACGATCCAGGGTGGTGGGTCGGAACCAGGCCGCCTGCGGGCCGGGGATGCTCAGCTCCTGGGGCCTGCGCCTGCGCAGCTCCGCAGGGAAGATGGGCTCGGCTGCCGGGGCGGCGGGGGTGGCAGGAGGGGGGGGGTGGGGAATGGTAGGGTGGATGGTCCAAGCCCAGACCCAGAGCAGGGAGGGCAGGGCAAGGAGTGCAGGGCAAGAGCGCACTGCTGGGAGAAGAAGGGAATCCTCCGTCACCAGCGACCCTGTTAAACTCATGTCCACTGGGCCTCAGATTCGGCGGCCCACATGCCGTGCACAGAGCATGGCATGCAGCCAAGCCTCACCAGGGTTCACAAAGGCCGTGAAAGGCAGTGTCCACCCCGGCCCCACACATCCATCCAGTACCCACCCGACTGCTTGCCCGGGGTCCGAGTTGTAGGACCCATGCCCTGCCCCTTGTCCTCCGAGTGGCTGACCACCCCCCCGCAGTCGCAGGGCTTCCCGGTGCTGGGGCAGACGGCGCCGTTGGTTGGGGCGGGGACGACGGGCGCCTCCATGCCATTGGCCTTGTGCGCCGCCAGCGCCTCCTCCGTGTACGCCCCCGGGTCGACCTTGGCAAAGGCCCGGAAGGCGTCCAGGATGGGGCGGTACCCGGTGCAGCGGCTGTGAGGGGTGGACGTGGGGATCTGAGAGGGTAAAGGTGGTCCAACGGGGGGATGTCGATGCGTGGAAGGGCCACACCTTGTGGGTGTCCAGTCCAGCACCCAAACATGCTCCCCCCATCCCACACCACGCCAGCCCTCCACTTCAGGCACACCAGAGGTTGCCTGCCAGCGCCTCCTCAATCTCATGCTCCGTGGGGGGCTCGGGCTTGCTTCGCAGCAGGGCATACATGGACATGACGAAGCCGGGGGTGCAGAAGCCGCACTGTGACCCGTGGGCCAGCGCCAGGCGGGCCTGCACGGGATGCAGGCCGTCGCGCGGGTTGCCCAGCCCCTCCACGGTGACCACGTGGGCCCCCTCCACGCCGTACAGCGGGCACAGGCAGGCGTTCACGGCGCGGTGCAGGAGGGAGCTGTCAGGCTCACAGGTGGAGACCATGACGGTGCAGGCGCCGCAGCCGCCCTCCCCGCACCCCAGCTTGGTGCCTGTCAGCCCCACCTCTGGGAGCGGGAGGGCAGGTGTATGGGGGAGGAGGGGGGGATGTTCTCCTCAGGACGTTTGAATGAGGCAAACCGCATGTGCAGCCGGCATATCGGCAGCCAGGCCAGCATCGCCCCTCCCATGGCAATCACTGCCAGCCCAGGGATCTCAAAAACTGGTCCTACCTCGAAGGTATTGCAGCAGGGTCCACTCCGCGCGCCCAGGGGGGAGCACATACCGTTTTCCATTGATGTAAACTATGGGATCCACATCACTGGAGGCCGTGACCATTTCAGGAATGCAGGGCGGTAACCCTTCCCGATCCTATCACCGACACCCTAGGGTTTGCCCGAGGGCTCTTGCAGCGACAGGTTGCACAGGGATGGGGTGTGGTCTGGACCAGACTTGAAGGTAAATTCGACCATGCAATGGGTATCTGAAGACCGCTGGGTCCTTTCTCATCTGTATTGCCTCCATGCAGGAGCTTTCGTCGTCCGAAACCTGCGCGCCCTTGCTCCTGGCGGGAAGGGTACGACTTGTGTCGCAGCGATTGCCTTGGAGGTCACCACCACTCGAATGCATTGGTCGCTATAACGTTTCCAGTCAATTTCGGACAAGTGGTAGAACATATAGAGTAAGATTAATTCACCGACTGAATTGAGTTGATCCAGGATGACCAGACGAGCACTCTGATTGAGTGAAGGCCGGATAGTGTCCAAGGCTGTGCAGCAGTGAGCACCTCAAACACGCTCACTTCTCAGGCAACATCATTCGCTTATAGCATGATTCAGTGCATGATAGTGTGAAAAGTGGTGCAGTGTTTTACCGCGAAGAGAGGGAGCAAGTAAAGGCTCCCCTCTCAGCCCCATGTCGGCCGTTGTCGGTGGCCTGCGCCGGGCTGTTTCTCGCGTCGTCCCCTCTGTGCAAGCGAGCTCGGCGTTGCCAACTCTAGTGGGTCAGCCCACCCATGAATCACACCCAGAGGTACGGCAGTGGGAAGTATGTAGGGTGGGGGAGGAGGTCACTGAGCACAAGAGGTGCAGAGGGATGGGAATAAACTGACTTGTTGTGAAGGCTTCTGAGTACAATGGAATTTACTCTTGACCTCATGATGCTTGTCTGATGGGCAAGCTGTCATGGGTAGAGGCCTTTTCTCCCAAAACATGGCCAGAGCTTCCCCATGACAACAATCACCCTTCTTTCCTCCTTACCTCCCCAGCTCCTCGCCCCTGGCGAGCTGGCGCCCGGGATCCAGGCCTCCGAGTTTGCGGCGCGGCGCGCCAGCCTGGCCGCGCGCATGCCCCTGGGGTCCTGCGCCCTCGTCCCCGCCACCGCCGTGGCTTACATGACGGGCGTGATCCCCTACCCCTACCGCCAGGATGCCGACTTCCTGTACCTCACGGGCATCACCCAGCCCGGGGCGGTGGCCCTGATCACAGCGGGGCAGGGGGACATGGTGCTCTTTGTCACCGACCCCGACGAGACGCGGGAGCGCTGGGATGGCGCGCGCTGCTCAGCCGCCGCCGCCACCGACGTGTTTGGCGCCGTGGCCGCGTACCCCATGTCGGAGGTGCTGCCTGCATCCGGTGTTTGCTTATCTGTGTGGTCTTTTGTATGCAGGGGAAGGTTTTTCCCCGCAAGGATGGGCATAGCTGTTGTGGCGCGCTGGGTTGTGCAGGGTCCATTGAGACTGGTGACATGGCTGCCACCAGCCAGTCGCCCACCCAATGGGCCTCATGCGCCCCAGCACCAGCCCCCCCGCACGGCCTCATCCATCTGACCCTTCCCTCTCCCCCTGCCCCGCCCAAATCCCGTGCAGCTGCCACGCCAGCTGCCGCGCATGCTGGGCTCCTCGTCGGCCGTGTACTACGACGCCGGCCGCCACGCCTCCAGCGAGCTCCGCGCCCTCTCCACCGCGGAACTGGGCGTGCGGGAGGGCGCGCTGCGCGCGCTGCGCACGCTGGCGCACGCCGCGCGCTGGCGCAAGTCGCCCGGCGAGCTGGCGCTGATGGCGCGGTCCTCGGCCCTGGCCGAGGCGGGGCTGCTCCGCGCCATGCGCCAGTCGGGCGCCCCGGGGGTCGGCGAGCACCACCTGGCTGCGGGCTTCGAGCGCGACTGTCGCTGGGGCGGCGCGGCGCGCATGGCCTACCCGCCCGTGGTGGCCTCCGGCGCCGACGCCTGCACCATCCACTACTCGCGCAACGACAAGGCCCTGGCCCCGGGCAGCGCGCTGCTCTTCGACGGCGGCTGCGAGCTGCACGGCTACTGCTCTGACGTCACGCGCACGTGGCCCGTGGGCGGTCGCTTCTCGCCCGCGCAGCGCGACGTGTACCAGGTCGTGCATGGCGTGCAGCAGTGAGTGGATTGAGAGGGAGGGGTTTGGGGGGTTTGGGGCGAGGGGTTGGGGCGGAGAGCTGCACACCACCACTGCGACCATCAAACACACCGACACACCATTAAATTACCCCGCCCCCC